TGCAGGTGCATACGGAGTTGCTACTTGGATTAACGCCATCACTGATGTTATTAAGAACGCCAAAGCATAATATTAATTAATAGAAATAATTTAAATCATGCGATAAAGGGTAAAATTTGAGACGATTTAAATCAGTAATTCGTCGTATTTAGTTATTAATCTATTATCTATAAAATGTTAAATAAAACGCTTGTTAATTACAGATAATACGGTATATTTTTCCAGATTCTACTGGTACCATTACATACAATTTTCCTATACGTTTCTTCCAGTTACGTGACTCTTTATTTTTTTTGTTCGTTTTCGCCTTATTATACTCTTCGTTAATATAAAACACGTATATAAACATAGATTGAGTATATTGGTGTTTACAATAATGTATGGTTAAAAAAAAGTCGCACACCATTGTCATTATTTTCAGTATACGTTTATACGAAGACATCGTTTCCTTTAAAATGAATGACACAATTCTTTCTTTGTTTTTTTTTTTGTGCTCTACTACGTGCAAGGTTTCCACTGTTACATACTTTTGTATCTAAACGTATATAAATTATACCTTATTGTTAATTGAAAATAGTTTCAAATAACATAGAAAAATTGTACTGTGCATAAAAAAATACCATTGAAACTATGAATCTATTTGTAAATTAAATTTTCAAATTTCAAGTTAGCTAAATGGGTAAGAAAATACTTTTTTTTTTATTGCAAAAAAATTTATCCTAATAAATGGAATAGAATTCTTAAGTGTAGTTTTTGTTTCTTTTTTTTGCAGAGAGTGTTGGATATAAATGTTGAAATGTACTTTCAAATGGCACATACAGCCAGTTGAGGAATTTGGTGAAAGATCTGAATTTTGGTGTTTGGTGCATTCTTGGAATGCACACAAGTGTTTCTAATCAAGTAGCTTTTGACAATTTAGAAATTTGAAGAACCCAAGAAGAGTCTGGAGAAAATTAAAGAAAATTCTAGGGATAATTCAGGGGAAGAAGAATCCAGTCCAGCTGGTTTGAATGAATGTTGTAACTTCTGGGTTGAATATGGACACCTATTTTTTTTTAACTATTTTTCAAAATTGAGATTTTATACTTTGAATATGTTCTTTCTCAAAATGTTCACCAAATTTCATCTTGATTGGCTACCAGTGCTACTCAAAAGAATATCCAAATGCAACGGTACATAAGTATGTATCGTATATCGGTGAAATTGAACTGAACGTCTGCACCGGAAGTAAAAATTTGACGCACGATGTTTTATACCTATTATTTGGATCACTAACAGTCAAAATTGAACACGTTCGCAGTAAGTTTACATATCTTTTAGCGATAACAATACGAATATGATTCAGCTTAATGAATCTTATATGAAACGAGTAAATTTGATTCGCAGAGTTCGATATTCAAAGAATTGCTGAGAAATCTCGAGAAGTATACGTTATTTACATCAATTGTACATTTACAATTAAAATATATAATGACAATATTTTCATGAATTATATATTTTATCATGTATATGTGTGTTAAGTTTTCTTCTTGAAAATGGCGGGAAAACGTATAGGTTATGAATCACTTACCTCAAATTATAATTAATTTTAATATAGTTGAAATTTAAATATATAGTTAGTAATAAACATTCTTTTATTTATTAATTTTGATTATATTTTTTGAATGTCGTTGAATGAAAGTCTAAAGCAATGTTGCATAAATCTGCAACAAAAATGTTCTTAAACTGGAAAAGAGTGGTTGAAATATCTCAGATCTTGTAAACTATTCGAAACTAGGAAAAGTATACTCCTCGATATTTATCAGCGTATTATCTTCATACGAAGTTATAATATACGATTCTATTTACAGAGAAAAATTCTAAACGACATTGCTTGATCAGACTTTTCTGTACACAAAATTGTGCGCGCCATTTTGCGCAATAATTCCCTTCGGCGTGAATCATGCGTTTGAACGGGCAACAATTGCCTTTATATCAAGAACAGGCACCAGTCTTTTGAAGTGATGCATAGGATATCTTGAAATCAGGACTATGATATACTGCACAAGTTCTATGGTAACAAGAGGTTTCTGAAATGTATAATATTACATGGTTGGGTCTGAAAGTCATGTTATTACTTCTGTAATAATATGCACAATATTTGCATAGGTTAAGAACAAATTGAAAGTAGTAACAGTGATTTGTAAATTTGGTAGATGAAAGTTGTATATCAGTTCTGAAGACTTAACCTCTGTAGAGAGATTGTAAGAGCTAACATACTTGTATATATGTATAACCTTGAACTGATTATATGTATAACCTTGAACTGATTATATGTATAACCTTGAGCTGATTATATGTATAACCTTGAACTGATTATATGTATAACTTTGAAAGAATGTTAGTAGTATCCATATTATATTTTGAGATAACATCTGCAGATCACTTCTAATTTGGTTCTTTGTTGATTGTAAATGTTGTTATGCAAAAATTTATAATGAAGACTCATTTATAATCAACACTCTATTGAAGATAAAAAGAGCCACAAATGTAGAAGTACAAAAGAACTATATAAATTAATTTTTGGTGACTTATTAGCAGCATATAACCTTGATTTATATAATTTCGAATGCATCAGTTCAAAAGTGGTGCCCATTCTCGATTTACACAAAGAGAACTTTTCAGCGGTCGCGTGATTGATACTGTACATGTAACTTTATCCTCTGTTTCGCTCATTTATTTCTATCCAAACGGTCTTTAAATATAAACTTCAAATATCTTCTATATATATTTACAAATGTACACATCCTAAGTAATAATAATAAAAGTTAAACAAGTGGAATGTTAAGGTATACCCAATATCTGCGATAGAAAATAGATTCTTTCGATAAAAAAGGAAAGTAGAATTGATACGTCGTTTGGATCAGCGCGACTGCTGCGAAGTTGACAATATATTTATCGAATAAATGTGTACTTTCAAAATTTTTATCAATCGAATCAGCATAATTCTATGCTACGATTACAAACTGTTTATGAGTAAAATTATTTTTGATTGGTAACTTATCAATTTTCAAACTGCGAAACTTCAAAGATTTGTAATTTCTAACTTGTAAATGAAACTGCCTATTTTTTTAAAAATAGGTCCATTTTTACTGGTTCTTATTTTTTTACACTTCAAAATAATGGGAACTCGTTTCTTACATATAACACGTAGAAATGCGACACAATCGAGAATTGTTAAAAACTATTTCCAAAAGAAAATATGATATATATAAAATTCATGATACTCTTTTCAAGAGCTAGATATTTGTACTTACTTTTATTTATATACATACAAAGATAATAATGATTTCAGGTATATGTTTCAAAGTATTACACTTCCATTAATTGTACTGTTTTTATATAATAAATTTGATTACATCTAGGAAACTGGAATAAATTAGAATATACAGGGTCAATTAGTATCCCTGAAATAAGAGGGAGCTGATTCTGAATAAGATTTCCCTTTGCAGAAATGGGGTTTGAAGCTTCGTTTTTGAATTATTAAGGAATAACGCGGATCAATCAGAGCGTGAGGATTGCGCGCTCTCGCGTCTGCGCATGCGTAGTCCTCGCGCTTTCGCGTCTGCGCATGTGTGATCCTCGCGCTCTCGCGTCTGCGCATGCGTAATCGCGCTCTGATTGGTCCGCGTTTTTCCTTAATAATTAAAAAACAAAGCTTCGTACCCAATTTCTGCAAAGGGAAATTTTATTCAGAATCACGTCAGCTACCCCCCATTTACTAGTTGCACCCTATAAAAATTAAATAGATATAAAAACATACAAAATTATAATTACAGAATATATACGTAATTACTAATAAATTATTAGGAACTTTGTAATTCACATAAACGGTAATCAACGCCAATTCCATAAAATACATAAAATCAGCAAATATAAAAAAGAGTGTATATATCACAAAAGGAAAGGTATTTGAGCTTCGAACTTAATGAATGTTCTCCCATGCTAATCGATCGATTTGATTAGTGTAAACGTTTGAAAGGACACATTTATTAATTTACCTCCCTAAACCATCATTAAAGCTTCGTTTGGCACGTGTGATTAGAATGTCACTTAATACGAAAGTGTTAGAATATTAATGAATACAAAAGAATCGATGTAGCGCGTTTCACCCACTGTTGTTCGCCATTTTGTCTTGACACACTCTATTGTATAACAGCGCTTGTTCATTTTGTTAATTTTTTTCTTTGGTTCTTCATAACTAAATTACACTTAAAACACTCAGTTACAACTTGGACTACTATTTAAAATGTACATCGAGTGCGTTGTTCCTCGAATAAAACGCACGAGAAATGCCTGTCTTTTTATTAACATTTTTCATTATTCCCTTAGAATTCGAATAGATTTCGTTTCTTTGTGCGGTGTAGCTTTGTAGGAAGTCTGCGAAATCGAGTCAGTTTCTTGTACCATGTAAGTAAAATATTTTACATAAATTAAGAATTCAAATTTTTTAACAATATGTTTAAATAAATTTTTGTCCGTAGGTCAATTGTACCGGACTCGCCTTCAGATTGCCTTCAGGCTTGAAGAAATCTACAGAGAATTTATTGGAAGAGAAAACCTAGAACATCAAAATCTACGAAATAGAAGAGACAATAAATAAAAGAACTTTAAAGAAATTTTGTCCTCGTGGTTGATAAAAAAGTTTGTTTACAAATATACAGAGAAGTAACTTGAGAACGGCACGAAAACTGACTCTCTTCCGCGAACTATAAAAAAAAAAGATGTCGACACCAAGTATTCGTCGCAAGATGGCCGCTAAGATCGAGCCACGAATTTGGTACTGTCGAAGAACGTGCCCGTTCATTTCTTTCTTCTTCATGTCTCTTCTCCTTTCTTTTTGTACGGTTCAGAAATATATTTATAAAGATTATTTTTCATGGCAGTATTCGTGTTGCATTGCCTCAAATATGGAAATCCGAGCTGTCGTAATGGCAAACGTTTTTTTGCTCTCGTTTTATTTCCCCACAAATAATATTTGTCATTTTAATGACGTTTGTAATCGAAATTCAATAGAAAAATGAAAGGTGAATTCTAATGTACAAAGATATACAGTGTGGTTCAAATAAATGGCACAGTACCTAATTAAAAACTTAAATGTTTAATTTAAAAAATGAGTGGTTGAAAGCAGAGTACAGAAGACCACCATTTTGAATAAATAATGTTAGAAATAAAGTAAGGTTAGGTCAAATGAAATTCTTCATTTAAAGAACTGAAAATTTGAAACTAAGTATGGCATGTTTCAGTTGGACCACACAGTATTTAAATTCTACCGTCAATCAAAATATGCAATGGAAAAGAACATGATCGATGGCAAAGTACGCGTAGAAAATGCATTTTCTAAATTTATCAAATCGAATTGTACACCCTGTTTTTCCCCAGATCTAGTTCTAAAATATGCAACGAAACTTTTCGAGCGACATACATTTCATCCACTTAAATTGTACATACATATTTTGATTTGTATATAAACGTTGCGAGCCATTTTATTTCGTATCCGTTTGAACATTCATATACGTACACGAAAGGAATATGTTTCATGCGATATATCCTTAACAGTAATTCCGTCAAAAAATTCCTTAAAACAATCTATCTATTTAATGCAATTGCATTTTTTCTCTTTCAGGAAAGAAGTATTAACAGATTGAAACTGTTTCTTAACAGTTATTTTTGTAAAATGAAAGAATTATGGAAGAAAGTAAAAAAAAACTGTGGACGCTTTGGGACTACTCGTAAGGTCGGCGTAGAGGAAGTAAACATGGCGTAGATGCGCAAAGAGTATGCGCATGAGCACATGGACCGCGGTTAGCGAAGGGTAATCTCTGTTATAAGTTTTCAAACAACTTTGTTATGCTGAAACTTTGACTTACTGCAATAATTATTAAGATTAATATGTCTCGTCAAACTAGAGACTTTCTAGAATATTTTTTGGCAAAGTAAGTTTAAGAAAAAAATGATTCAGTAAAAAATAATTTACCTTTATTACTTGTGAACCTTCGACGTTGGGTTTAATTATTAAGACGCTATTAAAAAGATTATCAGATAAATTTTAATGTAAAATCTTCAGTCTCTGTTCCGAACTATCAAGTTTTCCAACAGTTTCTAAGTCCCCTTACATTTTCAGATGTCTATCTGTAAGTACTCATCGCTACCGACTGATTCCAGTGCGCATGCGCGTACGCATGCGCAGTGTCGCCGTTGCGTACTGTAGCTGCGCCAACCCAGCCAAAAAGCGTTTCAGCAAATCGTAGGAAACGAATGTTATCACTGTATATCGAAGCAACTCAGTTTCCTTATTGTTGGCAAGCAAGTTCGGTGGAATGTTTATAAAACGATAAAAAAGAAAACAGTAACGAAACAAAAGGTGACACGCTTCGGCGCGCAAACGCGTTGCACGCGAAGCGTTTCTACTGATATCATCCTCTGTCAACTGCGGCCCTGTTTCTGTTATGCCACTTGCACTTGAGAATCCTCACGTAGGTTCTTCGGAACGCCGCGTTGCATAGAGCGTAACACATTGGGTTCACAGTACTATTAATATAACAAAGGTAATAGAAAAAGTCCCATAACTGCTGCGGTATGTACCACGAGCAGGCTGTGATGGATTTTATTAAAACGAGAATATTGTACGGCGTCCAAGTGATGATGAACGCCAACAAGATGGCCGACAATGTCTTTGCCGCCTTACGGTCCGCTTTCTTCTCCTGTAGCTTCTTCTTCTTCTTGTTCGCGCTCTTGTTCGCAGGCACCTTGCTGGCCAATGCTTTCGGGATGTTTTTCGTGTTTAACGGGATCCTTATGTCGGGCATTCGCGACGGTCTTCTGATCACAGGCGACGGGCTCGATATCGTGCTACCCAGACGAAATATCTTCCCGTTCTCCTCCTCCACGTCCTCGATCATACTGTGAAGTTGATAAGTCACTGCTTCGTCGTGATACATCTTTATGCTAGGGCCCTCCGTGTACTTCCCCATGCCGCTGGTATCCCTTGTGGGCAGCCGGATTAAGATCGTGTACACCTATGTGGAAATTTTTAAGGTTTTAGAAAATATAGCCTGATGAGGCTGGATGGTGACTCTTGTGAAGCTTCACACTTAACACTGACGCTTTTGGACGTGAGATCAGAAGGAACTTTAACAATATTGGTACTAGTGTACACTCGTGAGCACTGCAGGCATCCACAGAAGAAACACTGTTTTTAGATCTGAGAACTTCCACTTAGGTTTTTCCTAGTTTTTCCTAGGTCTCTCTGAATTCATCAAGGTTCTTCGTAGGGTTTGGACCCCTTGGTTCCTTCCATGTCCTTGTGGGTTCCCAAGGTTCCTATGGGTCACTTGTGGGCTTCGTTTGTTCCTCTGCTTTCTTCTTTGAGTTTCCTGACAGTTTCTCTTTGTGAGAAGCTCCTCTATTTACTGTTAACTGAATACCTACATTGCACTCAAGTGTACACAATGCTTCAAATAAATCTTTAGATATTAGTTATATGCAACAGTGTTAAGTGTGTCCTAGCAGTAAATGCTTCAAAACATCTACACAACATGTTTTATCATCAAAATGATTTATGGTAGTTTTCGTCCTCCTACTGGCAGTAAATCTGCGTTTACCTATAAACAAAACGGTATGATTTATTATGAAAGACAACACTGAATTACATTTGCAGGATTATAATGTTTTGCTGTCGCCAAGAACATCAATTTATTACGAAAGTAAAAGGAATTATCCAGGTACCATTTTTAACATCTTTGATCTGAACATAACCTCAACTGAACCAATGTTCAATCACCCAATCTTAGCTAACTTTAAGCTTATTCTAACAGAACATGCAACAAGAGTCGAATCTGAAGCAAGGACTCACTGAATCACTGGAGATGCTCTTTGTCGACAATTCGCCGCCCTTCCCAGACTTCTTGTAATCGTGGATATCCGCTATGCAGACAGTCTTCTCAACTGTTAGAGCCGTAGGATGAATCCCACTCAGAGAGGCTGATCTAGAGACCGTGCCAGTTAGAGGTGTTTCAGCTGATAGTGGCGTTGTGGCTTCATCGTAACCATGGCCTGTTCGACTGCTCTCGGCTCCTTCGATGTCGTCGTCGTCGTCGTCGTCTTCACGACCGCTGTGCCACCACGCGATGCACCACATCTTCAACCACATCCACGATAGAGGTCTGTATTTCTGCAACAGGGAAATCATTTTTAGGGAAGCACCATTCTTTAGGCAAGCATTGTAGCATGACTCAACTTTGGATAAAGGTTTGTAAATACAGAGACTAGGATATTGACCGTGATCTTGAGCTCAAGGTCAAGCTTAGCAAATTTATTAGTGTATAGTACTCAAGGGGATCTTAATGGTGTAAATATATGAAACTTGTTTTTACAGGGGTCTATTGAATGAAGTCTTGGAGTTGAATGAAGGCTATACATATTTGAGGATCAATATACTATGAATAATAAGGTGTAGTGTTGCAAGTTGGAATGAGAGAATGCTGCACTTAATGTAAGGCTTTAAGTTTTTAATCAGAGTGGAGTAACAATATGATAAGCACTTACTGTTTTATATTGAGGACAATGTTTTTCAAGATAGGAGACAGCGATATGCGTGGAATTCATGTCCTCGGCTCCTGTGCTAGACTCGCTCCTAGGCCTCTTGCAGTCCTCCATGTCCAACGCCTCATCGCTAATTGAAAACAAGCAAAGTAATTATTTAGAGAGTCTGCAAACAATGATAACATAAATGAAATTAACTAGTAATACTACACTGACAGGTAATAAAACTTATTCTACATAACAGGAAAAGTATAATAACTAACCTAGAGTTACTCCGTTTGCTAGCGTCCTGTTTCCCTGCCTGCAAGTACGGAAGGTCCTTCTGCCTCTTCTTGGTCTCCTTCCATATTCGCCAGTAAAGAATAATCATCACAGTAACAGGCACATAAAATGCGGCGATTGCGGTAATAAATGTGATGTAATGATTTGTCTCGATGAATTGAATGTAGCAGGCGTTCACGGGCACCGTTCTTTGCCCCTCGATGTATGGCCAAGCATAAATCCATGGCGGCCATAAGACCATTGAAACGCCCCACGCTAATGCTGCAAGTAGATTATTTTGCCGTTCTTACCATTATACGAAATTACCACCGCCGTAGGGTTTTATGAACGTTAATTGAAACTAATGCGAGACTAAGAGTGAGAGATGCAATTGGGGATTCTGTTAGACTCACTGTATGGCTGCAACTGATTATTTTCACAATTTATATTTTTAATTTCCTAAAATTCCCAAGGTTTGAATTTTTTTAATTTTGAAGTTCAGCTTGGAGAATTTGAGAAGTAATATAAATTGTGAACGGTGGCCATATAGTGAGGTCATCGGTATCAGAAAGTTATCTTACCGATCATAATGCCTGCTTTGCAAGTAGTCCTCATGGCGCGATAAGTGAGGGGCCTCGTCACAGAGAAGTATCTGTCGAAGCTGATAAGAAGAAGGTTTAAAACCGACGCGTTGCTGGCCAAATAATCGAGCGCCAGCCACGTGTCGCAGATGTGCGGTCCCAACGGCCAATAACCGAGCACGGTGTACAACGTGAAAAGAGGCATGGAGATTAGACCGATCGCGAAATCGGCGACCGCCAGGCTGAACAAGAAATAATTTGAGATCGTTTGCAATTGTTTGTCGATCTTGAATGAGATCATGACCATAATGTTACCAACGACGGTCGTTAGACTGAGGACAACGGCAATGATGACTATCATCACACGTTCCCATATCCCGTAGGAGTAGGTGTCGCCGCCGCAGTCGAGACCGTTGCTCGCATTGTAACTCTCGTTGCCGAAGATATCCGGTTCCGAAGTGTAATTCATGTCTGAAAGATTCGCTATTGCCAAAAAATACTTTGTGCGTTCTGAATGCGAGTCTTTTTTTTTCTTCTCGTAATAATAAATAAATTCTTTCACTCCGCTACTTTTTCTACGTTTAAGTACAAATTTGCCTTTTTTGTTTCCTAGTTTAGAATATACCTTCTCGATTATATTCGAAAGTGTGTTTTTACAAGTTACTCCTCGAAATTCTTTGCTCGTCGTAATTGTCCGTTTTAGATACAAAATTGTCTTATTCTATCGTTTAGAATTCTTTTTGTTTAGTGTACTCCTGTTCTACTTTGAACACGCCCGCTGTTCATTTTCTCTCCGTAGAATCGATTCGTCCGAAGTTTTCCCAAACTTTTTAAGCTACTTTTGTTTACGTATTTGTTCTTCTCGTCTCTCCCCCTCTTCTGCCCCTCTCTCTCAATCCCGTTCTATCTTACCGATCGCTGGTAACTCAGTGTATTCAGAGGTATTCGACGCGTTTTGTCACGTGTCCAGCCAGAACATTTTTCCTAAAAAGCCTATCTCTGTGCAAGCTCTTCCTCTTTTCCTTCGCATGCAAACAGCAAAAATGATTACGCGCGTACGCACACACGTACGCACGTACGTATCTTTGTTTTTGAACCTTGTTCTCTTTTTTCTCTATGATTGTTATGGAACCGGGGGATACGTCAACTACATACTCTCAACGTGTGTGTTGATGATGTGCGATCTGCAAAAAGGAATGTTTACCTTTTACTTTTATTTTCTGTTTTCTGTTTGTTTTAGTGGAGGCAGCATTTTTATCTTCTATGGAGGAAAAATGAAAAAATAGAGACTTGGAGAGGAAGTCAGTGAACATCCAAGATGGCGTCAGAGAACTTACTTTGTTAGAAGAGAAGAAGAATCTTGGAAGCAATTTGAAGATAGAAAAATGTGAAATTACTTAGGAAATTTGAGAATTGAGAAATTTGGAAGTTGAGGAATTTAAAGATTGAAAATTTGGAACTTTGAAAAGTACCTGAGAAATATTTGAAAATGAGGAGATTAAAGAACAGAGAGATTGAAGACAGGGAATTAAGAGTAGGGAAATAAAAGAGAAGGAAATTAGGAAATTTAGAAACAGGAATTAGGAGAATTTCTAAATTGAGAAATTTGGAAGTTGAGGAATTTAGATTTTGAAAATTTAGAACTTTGAAAAGTACCTGAGAAATATTTGAAAATGAGGAGATTAAAGAACAGGGGGATTGAAGGCAGGGAATTAGGAGTAGGGAAATTAGTTAATTTAGAAACAGGAACTAGAAGAATTTCTAAATTGAGAAACTCGTAACTAGGGGCATTTTTAAATAGAATTTCTAGGTACAGTCCTAGGCTAATTATAAATTAATAATTACATGAAGGAATAAATATTTATTACCAAGCATATAATTCATACCAATATCCAGGCAGCCATTGCCATCATCGCTGCAAAAATGCCCATGGATGTGTAAGCGAACATAGTCAAACACACCACAATGTCCTGGTGAAGAGATCATTTTGGATATTTACGTTCCTGTAAGAACGATAACTCGTATTCATAATTTCTATACTCGTATCTATAATTTTGTTGAAAAAACAGCATTGTGAGAAAAATGTTTGTTTGAAACTCTTTTTCGATAAATTATCAGTATGAAAAGAAAAATGGCGCATTGTTCTCCATATTGAATATAACATTGTTATCTGAACGAGCGAAAGACTCGACAGTTGTCATACAAAGGTAGATTTACACAGTAGTTCTAGCCGGTAAAACATGGTTTATTATTAAAGTGGCATCGTTGCACGTCGATAAAGCTTTGCATTAGCTCTCCTTATTCATGCTATAAATAATTTTCCGATATTGTTCCATCCTCGCACGCGTAAGCGCCTATAATGCACGCCAAGCGATAGTTCTATTCGTACACATTAAAAATATCATCTTGAGAAAGGATCAGCCATGGTTAACGGAAAACTGTCGTGTAATAATATCGTTCGTGGCCTCGTTAATACACCCTTTCAAAATGCATAAATCTTAAAGCGCGACATAACATTATTATACAGGTCGGATCACAAAAGGAGAGCGCGACGTTCGTAACATTGATTAGGTTGAAACTTTGAGCGACTATAGGTGATGCGATATATAATAATTCTCTGAAGGAATTACTCGCTTCGACTGATAATAGAGATATTCATATTTGATGTCTGGTTACAGGACTCTCGTTATATTATCGTGGACAGGTTTATACGGTGCATGGTGAATGCAGCGGGTTAGATGGCCTCATTAGTATGTTTTCTAATCTTCACATTTCTGTGTTTATAGATTTGTGAATTTTGAAATTTTCAATTATTTTTGTGGATTTCCAAGTTTCTAAGTTTTGCAATTTTTGAGTTTCCCAAATTCCAAATTTTTCAATTTTTAGATGTTTTAATTCTTTAGTAAGTAATTTTCAATTTCCACATTTTTCAAATTCCAAATTCCCCTAGTTCCATATTTCCCAATTTCCTAATTCCCCTAGTTCCAAATTTCTCAATTTCCAAATTCCCCTAGTTCCAGATTTCCCAACTTCCAAATTCCCTTAGTTTCATATTTCTCAATTTCCAAATTCCCCTAGTTCCAAATTTCCAAACTTCCAAATTCCACTAGTTCCATATTTCCAAATTCCCATAGTTCCAAATTTCCCAGTTTCTAAATTCCCCTAATTCCAAATTTCCCAACTTCCAAATTCCCCTAGTTTCATATTTTCTAATTTCCAAATTCCCCTAGTTCCATATTTCCCAATTTCCTAATTCCCCTAGTTCCAAATTTCTCAATTTCCAAATTCCCCTAGTTCCAAATTTCCCAACTTCCAAATTCCCTTAATTTCATATTTCTCAATTTCCAAATTCCCCTAGTTCCAAATTTCCCAACTTCCAAATTCCCTTAGTTTCATATTTTCCAACTTCCAAATTCCACTAGTTCCATATTTCCAAATTCCCCTAGTTCCAAATTTCCCAGTTTCTAAATTCCCCTAATTCCAAATTTCCCAACTTCCAAATTCCCTTAGTTTCATATTTTCCAATTTCCAAATTCCCCTAGTTCCATATTTCCCAATTTCCTAATTCCCCTAGTTCCAAATTTCTCAATTTCCAAATTATCCTAGTCCTAGTTCCAAATTTCCCAATTTCCAAATTCCCTTAGTTCCAAATTTCGCAATTTCCAAATTATCCTAGTCCCAAATGCCCCTAGTTCCAAATTTCCCAATTTCCAAATTCCCTTAGTTCCAAATTTCCCAATTTCCAAATTCCCTTAGTTCCAAATTTCCTAATTTCTAAATTCCCTTAGATCCAAATTTTTCAATTTCCAAATTTCTCTAGTTGCATATTTCCCAATTCCCAAATGTCTCAATTTCTAAATTCCCTAATTCCTAAATTTCCTAATTCCCTAGTTTCCTAGTTCTCAAATTTTCTAATGTCCAAACTTCTAAAATTCTACATTTTCTAATTTAGAAATTCCCCTAGTTCCAAATGTCCCAGTTTCTAAATTACCTATTTCTAAAATTTCCTAATTCCCAAGTTTCCAAAATCCTAAATTCTCTAATTCACAAATATCCCAATTTCCTAGTTACTAAATTTCATTTTCCATCTCATAAATTCCCCACCTCTTAAATATCCCTATCTCTTACTTCCCTAACCTTCAAATTCCCTAGTTACCAAATTTCATTTTCCACCTCAAAAATTCTCCACCTCTCAAATATCCCTATATCTTACTTCCCTAACCTTTAAATTCCCTAGTTACAAAATTTCCCAATTTCCCAATCTCTAATTTTTGAAATTAGTCAATTTTTTAGTTTCTAATTTAGCCACCATAAAAATTTCCTAAAACCCAAAAATTTGACACTAATAAATCTCTTTGATTTCAGAAAGACCGTAAAAAGGTAGCTAAAGAGGTGGCCTATCCGGTAATATAACGAGAGTGTGCAGTGAGAGATCGGTGCTACTCGACTCTTAATTAGGAGGGACATAATAGGTGAGGATTCAATTTGTACGTTACTTACTTGTTGCAAAAGCGTACTTGCAGCTCATAGTCGTTTGACGATAACATGTCACGCTTGCTCTTACATCGACGAATTTTGTTTCAGGATCGTACAGCGTGGATGGTTAATGAAAACAGCCTCGCCAGTCGTGAACATGATGGCTGAATTCTATCTTTCACCAGCAGCTTTCCGTAGTTGCATTCTTCGACGGTATTTCACAGTCATGATATATCACAGTCGACGATATTTTGTTTCCGGTTATTTCGTGTAACGTCACTAGAGATTACTCTGCACAGAAATATACACATCCGAGTAAGATATGGGCGCAGTCGATGATGTAACTCCTTCGATAAAAACTTTCGCGTATCACCGAAATTCGATCCGAGTCGAGAATCCTCGTTACGTCGCATAAAAATCAACTTAACGCGGAATTTTCTGCGTTTTAATCGAATTTCGCGTGCGGTCACGCAAAGGAGCGTATAGTGTCCATTTTGAGGCACCGTTCCTAACAGTCCGCGTGCGAAGCGCCCTAAAATACGTGGCCGAATAAAAACGTCTACTTTCTCTGAAACTAGAGGAGGCGAGCGATCGTTGACTGTGAGAAAAATTAATACCGAAAGTTAACGGGAAGTTAGTTACATTTGCGTATATTTGAATTCTACGAATTTCTTCGCGGGCCTCGGAGGAGCGTCCAAAGTTTGTCTTTCAGGCAGGAACTGCGAGGCTGCGAGCTGCCGCGATCCAACAAAATAAAATTAATCTTCGGATAACTAGAACGCTTAAGTATTCAAACTTGTTTAATTCAAAACCTGCGCTCTTGGTCCTACAGCGTTCATTCGGAAACAATTTTACTGATTATAAAATACTTTAATTTTATGTACATACTTTATGTAATAGTTTAACTTTTGTACACGTTTGAATGAGGATAATGTGCTTGGATTGTTAAATTGTTAATTGTATTTTGTTAATGTTTTGTGAAGGAATGTAGTATTTGTATTAGGGAAATTGTAATTAAATTTAGTGAGTGAGTGATGAAAATTGTATGGGTGTATGTTGTGATGGTTGTAATAATGGATTTTAGTGTAGAGAGATTGGGTTTTGAGATAGTGGAGTTTAGGTATTTAGGATAGTTTAGGATTACTGGGCTTAGGGGTATTGGAAATTAGGAATGTTGGTTTTTAGAGATTGTGGGATTTAAGGGTACTAGTAATTAGGGATACAGGGACTTAGGGATATTAGTATTTAGAGGTACTACAATGTAGGGATATTAGAATTTAGAAATACTGGAATTTAGAAATACTGGGACTTGGGAAGAGTGGGATTTAGGAATACTGTAACTTAAGGTTAGGACTAATGGAATTTACTGTAACTTAAATATAATGAAATTTAGAGATATAGTTACTTAGAAGTACTACTATTTAAGTCTACTAAAATCCAAATATATTCCAATCTATAAATATTAAAATGAACACCATAATCAAGAAAATTGAGATCTAGGAACAGGATCTAGGAATGTAAAAATAATCTTGATACAATAATTGAAATTTTTACTAAAACATAATACAGTAAATATACAATCCAAGTTCATGTACTGCAGATTAATTTGTTAATAATGACTTCACTATTTCTATTATATTAATTATATATTTTGTAAAATTTTTTGGTATTTGAGGTTAGGTACAGTCAGTAAAATGGCCGATTTCGAAGCATAAAATGTCTGACACAATTTGATAACATAAAAGTACAGCAAAATGGCACTTGTGATACATCAATTTAAAGCTTAAAGTCTCACGAAAATACCTGCATGGAAGTTTCATCGATATTTTTAGTACAAAAACGTCCGCTAATTATAGACAAGAATGGTAAATTTTGGAACAAAAGGTAATACGACTCGTGGACATGAAAATGTTTGTAACAAAATGTAATACGATTCGATGACAGAAAAATGTCAGCAAATACGATACAACAATTAGAAGCTTCAGAAAACAGACTAGATAAACCCCGTATTAATCATTTTTGTATAAAGTAACTAATTGGCAATTACAGCTAACAATAATCGATTTCAAACATCGTACACCAAAATATCGATTTAAAGTTTGATAAAAATGTATAAACTCATTGTTCAAACATGTTGACTGCGAATTGGAAGCAAAAGTAGTAAACAAATTTTTCTATTTTACAAACACGTAGTTTCGGAACACACATATATCTCATGCAGAAATAAATAGAGCAAACTTTATGGAGTTTGAAATCAGTTCAAGCCCTACAAAAGTACTAATGTAAACACATACGACATACATGCAAATTTACGTTACATCACTGTAACTTTTTATACGTGACTTTCAAATAATTTGCACGTTTACTGTTCAAAAGTGGCAACATAACGAGAGTATTAAAATCATATCTACAATGTAAAATTTAATTTAGGATGAAAGGAAATTTATTTGAGGTTTAATAACAAAATGGCCTTTTCATAAAAAACTACAGAAGTTAATAAAAATTATTCGACATTGAAAAATTAAGACACCAAGGTTGAAATAAATGGTATTTAGGGATACAAGGACTCAGGGATATTGGTATTTATGAATACTAGTATTTAGAGGTACTAGAATTTAGGGATATTGGAATTTAGAAACACTAGGATTTAGGAATATTGGGATTTAGAAATACTGGGACTTGGGAAGAGTGGAATTTAAGAATACTGTAAGTAAGACTTAGGACTAATGGAATTTACTGTAACTTAAATATAATGAAATTTAGAGATATAGTTACTTAGAAGTACTACTATTTAAGTCTACTAAAATCCAAATATATTCCAATCTATAAATATTAAAATGAACACCATAATCAAGAAAATTGAGATCTAGGAACAGGATCTAGGAATGTAAAAATAATCTTGATACAATAATTGAAATTTTTACTAAAACATAATACAGTAAATATACAATCCAAGTTCATGTACTGCAGATTAATTTGTTAATAATGACTTCACTATTTCTATTATATTAATTATATATTTTGTAAAATTTTTTGGTATTTGAGGTTAGGTACAGTCAGTAAAATGGCCGATTTCGAAGCATAAAATGTCTGACACAATTTGATAACATAAAAGTACAGCAAAATGGCACTTGTGATACATCAATTTAAAGCTTAAAGTCTCACGAAAATACCTGCATGGAAGTTTCATCGATATTTTTAGTACAAAAACGTCCGCTAATTATAGACAAGAATGGTAAATTTTGGAACAAAAGGTAATACGACTCGTGGACATGAAAATGTTTGTAACAAAATGTAATACGATTCGATGACAGAAAAATGTCAGCAAATACGATACAACAATTAGAAGCTTCAGAAAACAGACTAGATAAACCCCGTATTAATCATTTTTGTATAAAGTAACTAATTGGCAATTACAGCTAACAATAATCGATTTCAAACATCGTACACCAAAATATCGATTTAAAGTTTGATAAAAATGTATAAACTCATTGTTCAAACATGTTGACTGCGAATTGGAAGCAAAAGTAGTAAACAAATTTTTCTATTTTACAAACACGTAGTTTCGGAACACACATATATCTCATGCAGAAATAAATAGAGCAAACTTTATGGAGTTTGAAATCAGTTCAAGCCCTACAAAAGTACTAATGTAAACACATACGACATACATGCAAATTTACGTTACATCACTGTAACTTTTTATACGTGACTTTCAAATAATTTGCACGTTTACTGTTCAAAAGTGGCAACATAACGAGAGTATTAAAATCATATCTACAATGTAAAATTTAATTTAGGATGAAAGGAAATTTATTTGAGGTTTAATAACAAAATGGCCTTTTCATAAAAAACTACAGAAGTTAATAAAAATTATTCGACATTGAAAAATTAAGACACCAAGGTTGAAATAAAATAACAAAAGATTATATTGCAGTTTTTTAATAGAAAATACATAATATACAATATGATGTATCCACAATAACAACGGCATCAGTGGCGCCATCGACGTTAATTCCAACGAAAATAACAACAAAAATAGTAAGCGATTAATTAATACACCATTTAGCTAAAAAGACACTACACAAGACAAAGAACACGAATGACACCAAGGTTTCTTCTTTACCTTCTTTCAAACGTTCGCAGAGGTTAGCCACTCGGACAGAAACGTCCCTTAATCTCAAAACACACCCTTTATTCGGTTTCATGTTCACGTTCTGATCACCAAACGAAAACAAAAGGGGCATAAAACTCGTATCCTTGAATGGAGAACTTAGGCGTGGTACCCAATAGTTGACAGAAAAAAAAACAACCCCGAATCAGCTAATTGTCCATCGAGGAAATAGCAACGATAAAAAAAAGTTGATATAAAAGTGATCCGTTCAAGGATTACCCTTAAAAAATAGTACACGCACCGATTTTTCACGTGTAATTTAAATCACTGGTATCCAGCATTGGTGTGTCGAGTAACGGTACGGTCTTGATGAAAAATCTCGCGTGCATTTGGTACACAAAATACAATTCGGATTACGTAGCACCGATGTCGAGTACCACCCTTTTATCATCAACAACACATTTTTGATTCACTGGAACCCGAACCTAAACCCGGAGGGAGATAGACAACAAAACAAGCAGGCACACAGATTAAGGGAGGACAGACCGCGTGTATGTTATATAATGTACCCGCGTACGTGTAGATGCGTGAGAAAGAGTAAGTGAACGAATAAGTGAGGAAGAGAGAGAAAGCTAGTGCAGAAAGAGAGAGACTGACGGAGAAAGAGAGAAGAAAAGCGAGAGACAGAAAGCGAGAGAGAGAGAGAGAGAGGAGCAAAGTGAGGGAGAGAGAGGAGGACGCAAAGACGACGATGATTGCACGAGGGATGCGTTCGCGACGGAAGTACGAGGCACACTAAGGGCGTGGGCAATCGGAGCAAGGCCTGTGTGGAGTTCTGAGGGGTGGACCACATTGATTTTGATTTTCGAAGCGCGCGCATGAGTGTCCGTGTTCAGCTCTGCCCATTCATACGTATGGGACGTTGGACCTTAGACCAGTATACTACTCCCTCGATCGTTCTACGCTCAACATCGAATTTTCTTCCTGGACAGATTTTCACTTTGGAGGATGATTGTTATGGGAGATTTGGTAAATGATGGGTATGTGGAATGTGGAAGCGGAATTTTCGATATCGAAGAATAGGCGGGGACCAGATGGGCCCTTCCAATGTGTGGACTGAACCATCTTTGACCTGAAATTATTCGGATAAATCGAATTTTGTAGGAAGAGTTATACGGGAGTGATTCCTTACTGCGGTCTTTAGCTATGTATTATGGGAGTAATTTTTTAATTGTGAGGAGTGGTTACATCAAAAATTCGCAAACTGTATGCTAGGGTTCTCTAATTGTCGAACTGTATCATGCTGGGGTTTGCTAATTGTTAAACTGTATTATACGGGGGTGACACCATGCTGGGACCAAGTAGGGGGTGGTCGATTCTTAAATTATCGTATGAAGGATGTAACTGGGACGGGGTTCCTGAATTGTACCATACTGGGGTTCCCTAATTTTCGAACTGCATCATACTGGAGTTCCCCAATTCCTTGATTCTCCAATAGGGAGTTCCTCAATTTCTAGACACCACAATAGAGGGTTCCCCAATTCCTAGACTCCCCAATAGGGGTTCCTTCAATTCCAACACTCCCCAATAGGGGTTCCTCCAATTCCAACACTCCTCAATAGGGGTTTCCCCAATTCCTAGACTCCCCAATTCCAACACTCCTCAATAGGGATTTCTCAAATTCCAACACTCCCCAATAAGGGTTTCCCCAATTTCAACACTCCTCAATAGGGATTTCTCCAATTCCAACACTCTCCAATAGGGGTTTCCCCAATTCTTAGACCCCCAATAGGGGGTTCCCCAATTCCAACACTCCCCAATAGGGGTTTCTCCAATTCCAACACTCCCCAATAGGGATTTCCCCAATTCCTAGACTCCCCAATAGGGGTTTCTCCAATTCCAACACTCCCCAATAGGGATTTGTCCAATTCCAACACTCCCCAATAGGGGTTTCCCCAATTCTTAGACCCCAATAGGGGGTTCCCTAATTCCAACACTCCCCAATAGGGATTTCTCCAATTCCAACACTCCCCAATTCCTAGATTCCCCAATTCCAACACTCCCCAATAGGGATTTCTCCAATTCCAACACTCCCCAATTCCAACATTCCCCAATTCCAACACTCCCCAATAGGGATTTCTCCAATTAAGGGTTTCCCCAATTCTTAGACTCCCCAATTCCAACACTCCCCAATAGGGGTTTCCCCAATTCCTAGACTCCCCAATAGGGGTTCCCCAATTCCTAGACTCCCCAATAGGGGGTTCCCCAAGTCCTAAGCTCCACCATACTGGGGTTCCCCACTTCCTAAACTCCACCATACTGGTGTTCCCCAATTCTCAAACTGTATTACACATTGCCCCCAATCTTGAACCATGTACGAAGCTACCCTCGATTCTTAAATTACCGTATGAAGGGTATTCCTACGATTCCACCATGTTGCACTGTATTCCCCTAATTTTTAAACTGTGTTCCCTAATTCTCCATTCCCCACAGGAGTTTCCAATCCTCAAAGTGTGTAGGGGCAGTATAGTTAAAGGGACCACACGAATTCTTAAACCTTGTCATTGTCCCTACCATTCTATGCCTTTCATTTTTTATTATTCTGTATTTCCTTAATTATCAAATCGTTCCCTTAATACCTTCAAACAACAAAGATGTCCGTCTACTTTTAGTCCCCGTTAGAATGAAACCGCGTCACGATTATAACAAGCATGTAATTCTGAACGAAGCAAAAAACGAAAAGTGTAAATTGAGGAATTGAATCATCGCACCCTTAGTAACCGTTATCATTAAGGGGGGCAATACCTTTAGAATCTTAAAAAATTACAAAATTTTTGTTTTCTATAAAATGTTAGTGTAACGTCTTAAAAATATTGTCTCAAAATTTTCGAGTGAAATACGAAGCCCTTTTGAAGTTATGGCCGATTAGCGCCGCGGGTATTCACGCGTTCAGTACGGAGGACTGAAACTTTAAACGCGTTTTTCTCAAAACTACATTTTTACAATTGGTGTGACTGATAACTCAAAAACTAGTGTATCAATCGCGCTCAAATTTTTTGCACATATCCATGACAATAGTATGTAACATATGAACCTATATTTATGAAATAAATTGAACATTAAAGTTCCTTTTTATTGCAATATATTGCAAAAATTTTTAGTGAAATTCAAAGTTTTTCTTTAAAAGCGCGCCATTTCTTTAATTTTACACATTTTGCACACTTCTGAGGTTCATCTACTAACTGTGAATGTTAGTTTTCGAAACATTGTCTGCAAACTTGCTTCAGACCAATATATCTAAAGCTAGAACCCACGCCGATTCACGAGACGTGCCAAAACACTTCCAGAAAGGATTGTCATAATTCCGGCATTTTCAAATATTTTTCAAAACAGAAAATATTCTGTAATAACCAATAGTTATAATAAATTATACCGAAATTTCGAAAATGCAAAACAAAGGTGTCCTATACAAAAAAAATTCACAAATATCAGCTTATTTTCATCGGTCTAAAGGTATTGCCTCCCTTAAGTGCCTCGCCACTGTGGCCCTCGACTAACACGTTAACCGCAGCAGTGAAAATGGACGTAACATTACCATGTCGCTTACGTGTAACGATTTAATTTCTTAATTCAACCCTTATCATAATTTCATCATTTGATTCTTTGACGTGGTCGTTGATTTCTGCCACAAACAAATTGCAATCCACAGTTTGTGCTAACAAAAGCGTTCTTATAAAAGTTAACGATGGCTCTTACAGTTTATCTTCGATATATTTTAATTATAGCTCAAGGATTGATTTTTTTCATCTTGTTATAACGTGCCGCTAAACTTTTTTTAAATAACTCTTTTTTTATGCATTATAATAATGTACCGCTTTATTATTAAAGAACAAGGTAGTCCAAGTTTATCGCGCAAGTTATTGAAAAGTAATTTTTATTTAAACAATTCTGTAAATTAAATATAAACATTGTATAGCAATAAAACATTCGCAGAACAGTAATTAAGAGAAGTAGTTCGAAAGCATAAGTCTGACTTATGAGGGTCGTATACTACTTACGACTTACAGTAGCCTATCGTTATATTGCCACATTCGCGCGGATTTCCGTGCGCAATTATGATAGTCCTCACCGTCGAGTGTTTTATGGCCATGCGTTGTATCATCGGGCGTTATGTCCTCGTATATTATAATTCCACGCATTATTTTGTCATTCCAGGAATTTCCGCTGCAATATATCGAGAGCCTACTGTAGACAAATGGGGTTACTCGGTCGCTTTTATTGTTGATGTAGTTAATGAAGCGATACATGCTTTTTGTTTCCTTTTTTGAGACTTGCAATCTAATTATACTCATCGTAAACAGCTCTTCTGATGTATCTTTTTCACCTTTTATTTAAGATCTTGTTTCATTAATTAGGATTGAAATGAGCAGTAAACACGAATGAACGCGTGGCAAAAAGTAATTATCGCAAGACACAAATTTGAGGAAAAACGGCATTCATAAGTTAGGGGCTGAAACAAGATTATTGAGCGAGGATAATTATCCGTGAGAGACAGGATACGAAATACGTGAATGCATGTGTGTTTATAGCGCATGAAAACCGCATAAACTTTCCAGAACACCTAATAACTTTCTCATCTATGTTGAATCGTTTGTACAAAGCGCAAACATTGAAATAACGCTTCAGAACTTTAACTATATCGCATCTAACATTGGACAAAGACCTGCGAAAATTGATCGAGAATGTGTTCTGGATCAGTTACAATTTTTGTAAAAGAAAAATCAATATCTGGGAATACAGTACTTATGTTAAACATTTATTTAGATTTTGTATAAAAATATAAAATAGACAATACAATTCTGTGTGAATGTCATATAATAAATAATGTTGCTGCTCTCACACTTTTAGGACATATTTACATTTTAAAAAATAGTGTACTACATGTTTTCCCAAACAATGTTTATAAAAATATGGACTTTGACATAATAAACTAGTGGAACATGTAGTTCCACGTGGTTTGTATATTTTAATATATTAGAACAGACATTCAACAACAATTTTTTTCACCTTGTAGATTACATATCTCTCACAGGCTCACGTTACCGATTACATGTAATATAAATAGATTTTCCCTAGCATCTCTTTACGCGAAATTTCATTTGTTTCGTATTTCTAAAATATCAATCACCTTAAAGTGAAATGGTGGCTAAATATTTATACAGTAATTGACTCAGTTTCTACGCATGACAATGCATAGAATCATAGTACATCAATTTCCTATAATACATTTGGCGTGTAATTGTCATTATAATTAATCTATATCAAACTTCTTTGTCTTGCATCTAGTTTAAATTTTGCATCTTCTTTCGCTTTCTTCATTTTCATACTTAATGGATTGGGGAATCTTTCAAGCTTCGAATGTCCTCCAAAACCATCATACATAAGATTACCTCTTACTTGTTCCTGAAACATACTTTCTATAAATATACAAATATAAAACATTAATTATCAAGTATGAAAAATTATTGTGTAGATCATTACATTTGGCTTCTCAGTTCTTGGTCTCTTTGTAAAGATGGACGGATTCAGATTACTTGTATTACGTTTTGTTACTGAATGTTTTAAAACAAACAAGCCCCCCGATTTAAGCGGAAGATACGGCGAGTTTGTATCATCTGTCTAAAAACAAACTATTTAACATAAACCAACATTAAAAATAATGCAAACTGGCAGACTAATTTTCATTACCATCTCAGTCGATTGACTTTTGTCTTCTGATCTCCTTCTTTCTGTATTGCTTTTTCTCTCAGTTTTTGCATCATTTACAGCAGTTTTAACTTTATTTTGTTCACTATTACTAAGTAAATTTAAATCACTATTTAATGCATCTACTTTTTGTGAATCATAATCACTTGTTCTTTTTGCTAATGATATATTTCTTTCTAGCTCTTTTACCTTATTTTGTAAAAACATTTTTTCACTTTCGCAAATCATTAAGTCTTCTTCTAATTTTCTGAAAACAAAAAATGTTTTATTAATTAGTCAATGCTCATTTATGTCATTTTAAAATATACATACTTTCTTTTAACCTGTTCTTCGGACAACAAGTTCCTTTCTGTTGTTACTTTGGTAAGTTCTTGTTGTACGCTTCTTAATTTACTTCTTAACTCTTTCCTTTTGTTTAAACTCACTGTCATTTCCCTAGACATAACTTGTGACTTAGAAAAATTAAGTATAATTGTATATTGTACAAATAATGGCATTCAGTTACCTTTTCATCACACAAATGTATGTAATAAGTGCAGTGGGTTCAGCTGTTCTTGAGATTATCTCGTCTACATGTTCTGTAGATGCTTCAAGTAAGGTTTGTATACTTGAAAAAAAGAAAAGGTTCATACACTAATTGAATACAACATTTGCATAATTAATGTGTTATACATTTTCACATACTTTTTGTAGGTTTCAATTTCTTTTCGTAGCTGCTCAATTTCTTGTCTTTTGGCTTCTACTTCTAAATTCTGTTGTTTGAAGTACTTAATCTGATCTTTAAGAGCATCAATTGTACATTTTTTTGCCCTGAGCTCAGACTCCAGTTTATATACTTCTTTTTTTAGCTCTGCAGTTTGTTTTTCAAATGTTTCACTCTTTTCCATAAATTGTTTAAGCTCATTCTGTTTCAGTATGAGCTGAAAATTCATTTTATCAAGTTTATCCTGCAAAGAGCAGGTATCATCGACAATGGTATCATTGTTAGAGAAATTAAAATATATTCTATGAATCTTATGCGAGGTAGTTTTTTCTCTACATTGTGGACATGATCTGGATCTGTGAATAAAATGCATAAGTTTAAATAGATGCTCATACATTTCTCTGTGTAACCATTTATTTCATACAAACAAACATCAGTTACCTTTCTAACCATTGGGTTAAACAAACAAAATGAAAAATGTGCCCACAAGGTGTGTGGAAAACATCATCAGAAGGTATTAATAAATCACTACATATTACACAAACAATATTCATCTTGTATGTATAAAGAAAACAGTAGTTTAACTCAAGATAGAATTATAAGAAAATTCTTATTAATATTAGTATATTGTTCAACCTATTTTAACGTACAAAATTCAAATTAAATAACATAACAGAATACTCGTTTCATACAAGGCCCATCAAGTACTCCATATCATGGACCTAGGGACTTCTAGGAACATTCTGTTTGCGTTTTTGTTCTCTCGAAAGCACTAGCCCTTTACTGGTTGTGCAAACGAGCGGAAAATTTGAAATTTAAGGGTGGTAAAAAATTGATAATAGTTTAATAAAGTTAAAACAATTCGAAGTTAATTGGACTTGCACTTCAATGCAATTCGAGTCATATTATAATCAATTATACTAATAAAATCAATTATATTAATCGAATTTAACGGAAAAATATACACGTGGCGCCGCCCTGTGGCAGCGTGGAGAACCAACGAAACTGCAGTTTCAAAATCGTGTAGTTCACCCTGTTCGTCGGAGAGATGGCGCTGACGTCATTTTCACGTGGCGCTGTCTAGTGGCAGTTTAGAAAACCAGCGAAACTGTTGTTTCAAAACCGTGTAGTTCACCCTGTTCGCCGGAGAGATGGCGCTTGTTCTATTTTCGCTGATGACGTCACTTTTTAAAAAACCGCGCGTAAAACTTTCGAAAAATACGAAACTATTATGCGTTCAAAATAGTTCGCACAAATAAAATATATTGTAATATATTAATTAACAATCATTTTGCATCATATCTGCAAGAGTAAGTTAAAAAAAATAATTAATTTAAATAATTACAACAATAAATTTGTTAATAAACTATCAAAAAATATAAAATTATAAAAAATTTGATGTTAGAATAATTATACAGCAACCAATGAGAGTGGCTGCACGCTATTCGATAGAATAATCATACAGCAACCAATGAGAGTGGCTTCACGCTATTGGTGGATTACGTGATGTCTGATTGGCTACTGTACATTACCAATCACTCTTGCACTTCGATTTGATCTATTGGTTGATTACGTGATGTCTAATTGGCTACTGTAAACTACCAATGGCACTTACACTTGAAGAGGTCGCCGCTGCTCAGTTTTGTTTTGGATGTCGAGGAGGTCGGATCGGCCCTGTCAACACTTACCGGTACGAGTCAAGG